CGTCAGTGAGATGAATAGTCTCGACGACGCCAGGACGCTTCAAGGAGCCGACGAGCGGACTTTGTCCCCCGCCGTCGGAAATGTCGATTGTGGCATCATCCGTTTCAAAGTCTTGATGAGCGGAGTCGAAGTCCTCCTCAAGAACCAATTCGTTTTCCACCTCTGCGCTCTGGACGTCAGTTTCGAAGGCGTCTTCGCCGGTGTACCCCTCTTCCTCATTTTCCACAACGTCGCTGGCGGGCTCAAGCGCAGCACGTGGCAGAGCGCCTCGCAACAAGGTGCATCTCGCCCCAACCTTTCTATACACTCGAGCCATGAACATCTCCTTCGAGGAAAAGATGACCGAACGGTTCGCGGCTCTGACAGGACCTTGACCTTTGCCCTTGAGTGCACGCTCGATGGCTGCAGATTTACCTGGCTCGCATCCTCGAATCAAGGTGAAGATGCGCCCTCGGCTTCTCTGCGCTTCAGCTGTCATATGGCGGGCCTCGTCGCTGCCCGAGGCGTTTCGAGCCTGCTCAAGCATCGCAGAGGCAGATAGTCTTGCAGCGCGTCCTGCTATGTGTACGTAGTGTCGCGAGTCCTGCACAGCTTGAGCACCAATGATGTAGACGTGCTCTAAGTTGGGTATGTCCAGGCCTCTCAGAGAGGCAGATCCGTGCACGTACAGCGACTCCGAAGAGTGTTGCGAGGTCGCGTCTCCGAGCGCTTGAGCAGGCAGACCGAGCTCTCGCAGCTTGCCAACGACGCCTCTCAACGACCATTGGCTCGGAATGACTACGAGGCTCTGCAGATTTTGGTCCGGACCAGGTAGCAGCTGCCCGCGAGGGGCTTCTGTGCTGGGCTGCGCAGTCATGCCCTGTTGGTGTTCTCCGATGTTTGAGGTCCAAAGCAGTGCGAAAGCATCGAGCAGGTGCTCGTCGATGACGTGATCTTGAAGTTGCACCGAAGAGAGGACGAGCGATCGATGATGTTCCCTCACCTCCACATCTGTCGTTCTCGCGAGCAGAGGGGCCATGTCTCTGATAGACAACAGAGGTACATCACTGGCAGGCTTCTGCTGAGATACATCTGCTTGGTCCATGTCTCCAGGCGCCGAGGTAGGATCGACCACAATGCAGTGATGTGTCAAGCCAGGCGGCAAAGCCGTAGCACTGGGTGCAACTTCAGAGACTGATTTTCTCACTTCCGCCTCTTCGTCTTTCCATATCCTTTGCTCCAGGGGCGTGTGCAGCAAATGCCCTGTCGCTCCACCTGCACCGGCGGACAGGCCTGTGCAATCGACCCAATAAGCGAGCTTGCGCCCCTCGTGCTCCACTCCTGTCCGTATCCAACCAGTCCTTGCACCCATGAAATGCCTCAGCACGGAGCCAGCGGTCGCGCTGACGCACACCAGCTGGAGTGGCTCCTTGCCTTTCAATCTCAGACTCACGCCTTCATCCCTGCCTGCAGATGACGGCGATAAGGACATCAGTTTGGATCTGCTCTTTTCGCTCTTGTCACGATTCCGGTGGACTTGTGCCCTCTCCCTACTGGGCGGTCTTCGCTCGTCCAGCATCCTCTCCCGGCCTTGTTCTAGGCCAGCAGCAGCGACAAGCTCCCCTCCAGAGTATGTGCCTCTACGCTGAAAAATCCAGTCGAGACATAACAGGCACGTGGAGGGATGTGTGCTGTCTGCCCACTTGCTGCCTCGGTGCAGGCTGATGGGCAGGTCCAACAGCGCATCGGCCTCATCGAGTACTATGGTTCGTAGCGACGGAATGCGCAGCAAAGCTGCAGTGGCTGGCTCGTTGAGCATCTCCCACAATCTGTTGGGTGTGCAGATGATGATGTGTGGCGAAGTTTTTCTGAGTCGCTCCACTTGTTCGTCGGGAGAGAGTCCCTCGTGATTGCGTCCTCGTACTTGACTCTGGATGACAGGGTCGAGGGATGCCAATCGGTCCGGCGGGAAAAGCTGGCGAGCCCATCGCATATACTGCTGCGCCAGGTCATTCGATGGGACGATGAGCAGCGAAGCGGAGACGTGCTTCACTATCTCTTCCCTTGCGCCAGGCGCAGCCGAGGAGCTGCTGGAAGAGAAAGAAGGGCGTTTGAATGCGACACGAGGCTTGGCCATCAACCCTAGAAGCAAGCCGAGGCTCTTCCCTGTGCCTGTATGTGCTCGCATGAGAACGTCGGCGGGCTTGTAAAGCGCAGCCAGCAGCTCTTTCTGCGCCGCGGTTGGATCGTGAAGGTGCGGAAAGGATCGCAGCACCTGCTCTGCGAGTACCGGATTCAAGCCAAGCCGCTGAGTGGTGGGTGGAGCATAGATGAGCGAGGGCAATGACACTGCATGGTATATAGTTCTTTAGACTGCTCTCACCTGCCATCGCTTTACAAATTTTCTGAGAGGAGGCCGCGCAGGGTCTTCGATGAGTGGAGTGTTCGGAGTCACATCACGAACAGACGCAGCGGTTGCGTAGGCTCGACAGCTGCAGAGATCTGGTCGCGAGCGTGAAGAGTGCTTGACCCTCGAGAGCTGAGCGAATTCATGAAAGCATAAGGGTGTGCTAAGAGACGCTGCTTGGCTCGACGATGATGCCGCCGCGCCTATCGCACTCGTGGTCGTTATGGAAAACGAGCGTGGCTGGAGGAAAGCCCGAAGCGCTTGCACCGCAGGCAGTGCCTGAGCTTGAGGGCGCATCGTGGCCACCT